ATAATAAAGCTAGAACGATGTAAAAAAAAATTAAGCAAACAAAACAGAAAAGGAACAGTATTTCACAGACGATTGAGTATTTCTCACTCAATTAATACAGTTCTCACTTCGCGACCAGGCAAAAATACATAAAAGCTCAAAATATATGTATTAAAAATTACTAATTATTAAAAATTAAATTACTAAAAATTAAGTAAATCTTAAACACTTATTTCCTTGAAAAAATTCCAGAAAGGATTAAGCATGATTTAATTCGCAATAATAAATGAAGGCGTTATTTTTGTTGTTGCCAAGCTACGTTTCTCTAGATTCGCAACAAATACACTACTCTGCTATTTTAAATGCAAACAAGCAATGGCCGCCATCAAAAAAATTATTAGGCTTAGTTGCACCTCAACAACTTTAAAATTGTTGATAACTCTAAAAATATTGCATACAGATTTACTAAAGGCATAAAAACCTTTACTTAAGACAAGAACAACATAATTTAATCATTTTTAAAGCAAAAAATTGTACAAATTATAAAACACATAAGAGTAAAGAAACTGAGATCACTGAGCCGGGCAACAGAGTGTACATATATATAAATATATTTATATATGTTTGGCGCGGCCGATTGCAACCAAAATACGAGGTGTACATCTACATGTTATAGTAGTCCTTTGGTGGTCGTGTGTGCTTAATGCATGATATAATTAAAGAAAATAAGAGTAGACAATCTCCTATAACAAAAGAATATATTAAGTACTAAATTACAATTTAAATTGCATTGCAGAGATCAACGCAGTGCTCGGAACACAGTTCATGCTACTGTCGCGTACAGTTGTCTGACGAGAAGTCTGAGTGAGTCATGCCGTCGCTTTGCTGCTCCGATTAAGGACTGGATTTTACACGTGGCGCCATCTCATGAATAGAAGTTGAAGTATCTGTTGGAACGCCACAGTACCCCCCCAAGTACCATCGGTACGTTATAAGTACTTTGGGTGAAATTTAACCTTTCTTCCAGATCTAGTAGTTTTAGGTTGCTCTTTAACGGGATGTAAGCTTTCTTCCGGGAGTGATGTTGATGAGGAAGTTGTTGGATCTTGCATTAGAAATGCTGGTTTGAGACGATCGATTCCAATCACTGATTGTTTACCATTGCAGATGATGGTGAAATGTTTCGGTGTTCGTTTGACAACTTTGAATGGACCATCATATGAAGGTGTTAAAGTTGGCTTAATTGCATCGTTGCGCACGAATACGTGCGAAGATGTCTCAAGCGCAGGATTTACAAAATAACTTGGCTGGTTATGCGAAGATGCTGGGGTTGGCGAGATATTGCTCATGGTCTCACGTAAACGTTGAAGTAATGTTGGAGTGTCGATAACTGGAGTAGATTCTGGGTGAAAAAATTCACCTGGCAGACGGAGGTTTGCACCATATAACATTTCAGCACAAGTGCTACCAATGTCTTCTTTGAATGCTGTGCGAAGACCAAGCAAGACTAGGGGTAAGGCTTCTGTCCAGTGTGTGCCACTGTGGCACTTCAGACCTTGTTTGAGAGATCGGTGAAAGCGTTCCACCATCCCATTTCCAGATGGATGGTATGGTGTTGTGCGAATATGGCGAATGCCAAGAAGAGAGGTGAGGGATGCGAACAAGTGACATTGAAATTGTCGGCCTTGGTCAGTGGTGATGGTGGTAGGCATGCCAAATCTTGAAAGCCACTGGGAGATGAATGCTCGAGCTACAGTTTCAGCGGATATATTTTCAATAGGAATGGCTTCAGGCCATCTTGTGTACCGATCAATACAAGTGAGGAGGTAAGTGTAACCATTTGAAGGAGGCAATGGGCCAACCAAGTCTAAGTGTACATGATCAAAGCGTCTTGCTGGAAGGTTAAATTGTTGAATTCTGACTGGCGGCCTTGTGGAGATTATCGTCGACTTAATGCCGTCACAGTCCCTGACAGATATCCAGTCCCACATATCCAAGACTGTACCCATCTTTTTCATGGAACAAAAACATATATTTCTCTACCCTCGATCTTGCCAGAGCTGATATCATCAGATTCCGGTGCATGCTGAAGATGTGCCCAAGACCGCAGTGACTACACCATTTGGTCTCTTTGAGTACTTATATATGCCATTTAGCCTTCGCAATGCTGGCCAAACATTTCAGCGTTTCATACATCAAGTACTGTCTGGCCTTGATTTCTGCATCCCATATCTTGATGATATCCTGGTTGCATCTACAGATGCGGAAGAACATTTTCAACATCTGCATCAGATTTTCACTCGCCTTAAAGATCATGGATTAAAACTAAATCCATCCAAATGTGTACTTGGTCAACCCTCAGTTTCCTTTCTTGGATGTCTTATCACCCAGAATGGAGTTAAACCTTTACCGGAAAGAGTCAAAGCAATTAACGACCTACCTCAGCCCAAAACCATCTCTGAACTGAAGCGTTTTCTAGCAATGTTAAATTTCTACCGACGCTTTCTGCCAATGCCGCAAAAAACACAAGCCTGCCTACATGAGTTTCTGAAGAATAGCAAAAAAAAAAAACAAAAAAAAAAAAAAAAAAAAAAAAAAACGATCAACGAGCTGTCCCTTGGACTGAATCTGCATCTGCAGCATTCGTGCAATGCAAACACGATCTGGCAAATGCAGCCACACTTTCTTATCGCTCACCTAGTGATCAGCTCTCTATTATGGTAGATGCATCTGACACGGCCATAGGAGCAGTGCTTCAAGCCCATACCACTAAAGGACTTTCCCCAATGGCATTCTTCTCCAGAAAACTTACTAGTGCAGAAAGGAAATACAGCACATATGACAGGGATCTACTTGCTGTGTACTGTGCTGTTAAATACTTCCGGCACAACTTGGAAGAACACGACTTCATTTCATCATTTTCACCGATCATCGACCATTAACCTTCGCTTTTAGAAAAAACTCTGACTCATGTTCTCCTCGTCAGCTTCGACATCTGGATTTCATCTCCCAGTTTAGTACAGATATCAGATATGTCTCTCGTACTGATAATTGTGTCGCTGATGCCTTGTCCCCGGGTAAACAATATCAACCTCACTACCCCAGATTTCCCTGAAATTGCAAAAGCTCAATTGCATGATGAGGAACTCAAGAACCTAATCTCAAATCCACAAACCTCCCTTCAGTTACATTGATCCAACGCTTAAAATTTACTGTGACATAGAGAACAATAGAATACGTCCCTATATTTTAGACGTGAAGTGTTTAATGCCTTGCACAATTTGGCACATCCTGGAATCCGTGCCAACAAAAAGCTGATCGCAGACAGATTTGTCTGGCCAGCAGTGAATCAAGACATCACAGAATGGACTCGTTCATGTATTAGATGTCAACGGTGTAAAGTATCCCGTCATCACTTTTGGTGGTCGTGTGTGCTTAATGCATGATATAATTAAAGAAAATAAGAGTAGACAATCTCCTATAACAAAAGAATATATTAAGTACTAAATTACAATTTAAATTACATTGCAGAGATCAACGCAGAGCTCGGAACACAGTTCATGCTACTGTCGCGTACAGTTGTCTGACGAGAAGTCTGAGTGAGTCATGACGTCGCTTTGCTGCTCCGATTAAGAACTGGATTTTACACGTGGCGCCATCTCACGAATAGAAGTTGAAGTATCTGTCGGAACGCCACAGTCCTATATACAAAAGTTCAACGTTCTGAGGCTACTCGTTTTTGAGTTATGCGAGTCATGACGTCGCTTTGCTGCTCCGATTAAGAACTGGATTTTACACGTGGCGCCATCTCACGAATAGAAGTTGAAGTATCTGTCGGAACGCCACAGTCCTATATACAAAAGTTCAACGTTCTGAGGCTACTCGTTTTTGAGTTATGCGAGATGCGTACGTACGTACATACGTTCGTACAGACGCCAGGAAAATATCTCTTCAGAATTCATTTTAAAGCACTTTTATAATTTTTTTGGAGGAAAAGAGTCTTTTATTCTATCCTCACGTACAGATATCACGCAAAAACATCGTTAAATTGCATTCGAAAGCGGTCAAAATGGATACTTTCGTTGAAATATGCTGCCTGCAACTTTTCGCGACTACAATACTTCCTTTTTACTTTGTACAAGGAAGTAATAATGTGAATTTTACTATATAACTTTTCCATTTTGTTAACAATTGTTTATATATTCATAAAATGTAAAAATCTGAAAAGCGATTTTTTGAAGATTTAAGGGTCCTGTGCCCCCTTTAAAATTCTTTAGAATTATGGTCCAATCTTCTGTAAACTAAGTCAGAGATCTATTGAATTTTATAAAATTTTAATATAGCTTTAAAGTTATGTATAAAATTTCTGTACATGTAATACGAGTATAATACTCTATAGAAGTTTTTGCAAAGATTCTATGAAGATCTGTACATTTTCTAGAGATTTCACGCATGGAATTCTATGTAATATGTATAGAATTAGTTAACAGAATTCTGCTGAAAATATTAAAAATAGTTTATAGAAAATTGGTCCATTATTCTAAAGAACTGTAAAAAATGTTCTTTGCTTTAATTTTCTGAAAAGTGTATTATTTTCAGATATAGAGGCTTTTTAATATTTAAAAGCGTAATTAAGATAACTAAAATTTTCTTTTTGGCACTAAAAGAACGACATAAATTTGAATTTTTGAATAGAAATTTTTAATCCAAATTTTGAAGTGATCTATGAAAGGAGGTATGTAACTTTTGGAACAGAGGGTGATATTCTTTTAGTGTCTTCTTTTATTCTTTGAGATTTCAATATCATTTAAATTTTATTAAAATTTTTAAATAGAAATAAATACAATTTAAGTAACCGATAAATTTAATTAAAATTAAGAAATCATTTCTCTTATCAGGGGTACAAGTGTAATAATTAGAAGCATTAATATTGCAAAATGTTACATACAAATAAATTTATAAGTAACGTTAAGGTAGGAGAGAAAAAGTCAAAAATTGCCATCCAAAAATGATTCAACACATACAAATAAAAAATGTTTATTTTGCACATAAACTGAAAATCTGCTTTGATTACAGTTTGGAAACGTTAAAAACTTCTGTAGAACATCATTTTAAAAAACCTTTTTATGAGATTTTGTGAAGTAGCATTTCTACAGAATTCTGTTCTGTAAAAACTTTATAAAATTTCGCTAAAACTTTATAGAGAAATATTTCATTTGCATAGAGGATTACCTATAAAATTTTAAAGGAGTTTCTATAGAGCTCCTTCAGCCTCTATAGAGTAATTTCGTAAGGAACGTAACAAACAAGCGGACGATTATTTAAAACTTTTGAGGTTATTGGAAACTTTAAGACTCAGTCCATTACGTACAATATAATATAGTTTATATATTGAAATCGATCAATACACGAATTCCTTAAATTTTCCATTTAAAACTTCTGAATATAATTGCCATTAACTCAGCTCTTATTTATCTACAGAGAAGAAGATCTCCATGTTTTATATAAAAAAAAATTATGCATACACACTGGCCAATGAATTAGAAACCTTTGAGATTTTCATTTGAATGCGTCTTAGAGATGAAGTATGCAAAGTTTTTTATGATGTGGGTTACACGTGGTTAGAATGCTAGTATAAGTAAGGTGCAAGAGTGCTTTTCACGATGAATAAAGTAAAAACGATGGTCTAACCAATCAGAGCAGTTATCCGTGCGAAAGGTGGCCTAGTAAAGTATTGATCTCTGGCTTCCAATTCATTGGCCAGTGTGTGTATTACCCAAGTTGTGAAATTTTTTCTTTAAAAACCTTAGTTACATTATGTATTGTGTTTTAGTCTTATACTAACATAGATATGGTATGCAGATGTAGCAATTTGTGCAAATATTGGTGATAACATAAAAGGAGACCATGCTCTGAAAATGAGAAAGAAATAAGAATAGACTTTATACCCTGAAACCGTATTTCATTAAAATTAACGAACGTCCGCTTCAAATGGCACAGTGAAGAATCAGGTATTTGTACTTTATTAAACAAGAACTTAGAAGTAAAGGTGAATCCAGTCCAGAAATCTGCTAACAGTTGTAAAACCACCGTATTGTTTGGGATGTCCACAACCACCAGGGCTTCCCCAACTAACGATCCCTTCAAGGACCCATTTTCTCTCCTTGGAAGAATCGTCAGTAAAAACCATGGGTCCACCACTGTCACCACTACACGCATCTGCCTTTCCTTGCTCGTAGCCTGCACAAAACATATTATCTGTAACTGTCAAAGGTAGGTCGGATTCCTCGTATCCTTGTTCACATCTTTCTTGGGATACTACAGGTAAAACCGCCTGCTGCAGTGTTTCTGCATATGTGTCATTCTCGTTCATTCCCCAGCCTGTAACCTGTAAAAATTAAATATGAAACTCTTTTAAGATAACAACACAGAACTGTAATATTTACCTAATGTTATGAAAGTAAAATAGGCAGTAAATTTCAAACGAATAATTAAATTTATTTCTTATGTATCAGAACAAAGTTGCGTAAATAATGTCATTATTTGGAAGTTTTTGCTTTGCGAATACCTTTGGAACTATTTTACCGAAAATTTCATATATATTATTGCTCTTCACGGCTGATAAGAAAATTTTGTTATGGGCGGAGGTATCAGCTAAAGAATTTGGCGATTTTAGTTCCGAAATTCAGCAGTATTTTAATTTCTTCTGCTGACGGTTGTTTAAAGGGTCCAGAATTCCTATAATCAAATTACCCATTAAACCCTGGGTAATGGGTAATGTAAATTAATACTGTCCGCTCAGGTAATACAAATTAATATTATCCGTTAACCAATTAATATTACCCGTCCAAAGTTTCAATAACAAACTATTATCCGTTAAGCCCTGAGTAACGGGTACTATCAATTAATATTACCCACACGAATTCTGATAATCAATTAAAATAACCAGTCCATAATTTAGATAACGAATTTACAATACCTCCCAAGTCCTGGTAACAGGTTATATCAATTAATATCAGCCGTCCAGAATTTCGATAATCAATTAATATTACCCGACGTGGCATTGATAACGAGTAATGTCAATTAATGTTACACGTTTAAGCCTTGAGTAACGAATAATATCAAATAATATTATCACTTAAGGTGATATAATCTATCAATAATATTACCTGTTAATACGGTAGAAAACAATCATCATTTGGGTGTGTGTGTGTGATTATGGTAAAGCCTCGAGGGCTATCTTCCTAAGGGGAGGGATGCCTTCGTGGAGGTCGTTCTAAGGGAAACTGGCTCGTATACACGTTACACACGGGGAAAACCACGCAACCACCCATGCAGCCAGCCCGTTCGCGAGACAATCACCAGTTGGAAAGCTATAAACAGAAAAACTAGTTTTAACAGCTTGGTTGCCACGGTTTGGGTGATGTTGATTGTAGAATCGTTGAAAAACAAACAACTTGCAATATTTTCGAAATATATATTCTTCCGCTGGCAAACAGGTATATTTTATACGTAACGGTCCTTCTTTCAACGGAAGAAAATTTCGTTTTCTCATAAATAATTAAATACATAATTAACCTTTCAGAAACCAAAATTTCAAATTTTAATTGCCATTCTGTTGCTTCTCATTATGTAAGAAACTGAAATACTGATCGGAATTTAATTGAGTCGGCTTTATAAGCTCCATTAGTATACACTGAAGCATTGCTAAAAAATAGTGACAGATATCGGACTGCCTATTTTCGAATACTACGGCCATTAAGCCCTGGGACATTTTATAGCATATTTTCCTTGGGATACTGGTCACTATATTGTTGCGAGCTACGTTTTTGGGATGGATTAGTTGATTATGGCAAAGCACACTAGGGCTATCTTCTTAAGAGGAGGGATGCCTTTGTGGAGGACTTTCTAAGGGAAACTGGCTGGTATACACATTACAGATGGGTAAAACCCCGGAACTTTCCATGCAGCCAACCCGTTCGCCTGGAATCAAACCTAAGTGGGAACTATTAGTATTCAGCGATTTTATCCCTCGGCCGCTGGTGGATATGTTTTCGGAAAGATCTCTTTAGTATTTACGGCAGGTGAGCGGAGAGAATCTAACTCTTTATTGTAATTAATAATACACTAGTGTGCAAAATTGAAGCAGATTTTCTGGTTTTGGTCGTAATTCCGAAAAAAATCAACCAGGAGACATGAAATTCACACTACAATACTTAAAAGATTAGGAAAATGGAGTAATAATAATAAAAAAAAGAATAGCATGCATAATTTTCGGAATGAATAGAAAAAAGATTTACTAACAGAATGGCGATGGTACAATAAACTGTGTAGCAAAGAGGGAGAACAACAAATCTAAGAGCCTTAGTACGGGATATGAACTCCCCTAACTCCAATGGTTGCGCTGCACCATCTGTCGATACTCAACATCAGATTATCTAACAGTTCTTAGGGTAAGAGTTCTTATTTTTTAAAAAATATCAATTTCAACAGCCTAGTGTTCTCTGGAATGTAAGATCGTATTGCAAGGCATTACCCTAAAGTATCCCGTCTATATCCAATGGGATTTAAATCAGGAAAGTGTGTGGTGTATTTAATTAGGGCAAAGCACACTAGGGCTATCTGCCTAAGAGGAGGGATGCCTTCGTGCAGGACTTTCTAAGGGGAACTGGCTCGTATACACGTTACACATGGGGAAAACCACGAAAACGCCCATGCAGCCAGCCCGTTCGCGGGATTCGAACCTCGGACCGAACTACCAGTGTTCAGCGACTTTACCGCTCGGCCGCTGGTGGGTCAAATCAGGAAAGAATGACGGCCAATTTATTCTGTGGATATCTTCAGTTGCAAAGACCTCCTCAACATCTTGAGTTCTGTGTGCCGTGCATTGGAATCCGTAAAAACAAATTCGGAAACATTGGCACTCCGAAAATAAAACGCACGTAGAAGGAGGACAGCCTCATGGCAGTAACGATTTCCGGTAAGTGAACCTCTGTTGGAAATATGGAGTTGCGTCTGTTTGGTGATCAGAATGCCTCACCATACAAGCAAGCCAGAACACAGAATTGATTATTAGACTGAAACGACCCTGATCGGTATGTGATGTGACTCTATTGAGGAGATGTCCAGTCTTTATGTCTCTACACCACTGTAAAAGGTGCCAGCGATGGGCTACTGTCAATGGTATGCAGACTTCAGGACGGCGGGAGAACAGGCCGCCTTTATGAAGTCATCCGGTTACAGTAAGTACTGTCGTCCGGTTGTCGTGCGCAACTGCTGAGCAGTGTTGCTCGATGTCTGGTTTTGATCCCTTTTCACCAACAGGCAGATATATTGGTCAACAGTAAACTTTGTTTTCTTTTTGCTGATCACCACCAACCTTTCTTATAGCTCTGCCTGTCGTCTGGAAGCCTTTCCAAGCTCGTGAACAACACTTTTATCAATACCAAACTCTTGGGCGACAGACGTCAAATTACGCCCCTTTTTAAGCTTGTCAGTCATTGTACCACGTGTAAAGGCGTTCTGATGTTTTCTTCTAGCTATACTGCACGTTCTAGATATCTTTTTTCTAGAACTTTCAGAAGAATGACTGATGCCTTTCACTTTCAGAAGAATGACAGATCACTGGCTTTCGGAGCCATATCTGTATACTTGCCAGCCCTCTGTAAGGTCGGGAATTTTCTTACTATTTCAATAATTCCTTTTCTGGGAATTTCCAGAAAGTCGTCGCGTTGGCGATAATCGCCAAGGGCTGTCAGAAGAATTTGTGCCTGTATCTCAGCTTCAAACTTAGCTGAAAATTTTAAATATCGATCACTTCAGAATCACAAGGTCTATGATTCTATACGATGAATACACACTTACAAATTCATTATGTGATCACAAATTCGATAACACGAAATTACGCGCAAAATTATTACATAAAATGCTGCAAATAAATAAATAAATAGATGGAATGAAAATATAATCGAAATAAAGATATAGTGCCAATATATAAAAACCTAAATACAATTAAATACACTCAAAATATTTGCAAAAATACGTTTATAAATGCATCTTACTGCTTGCTTAACTTGCATGCATTTTAAATTAAATATTCCCAGTATGGAAGGAAAAAATTTTTTTAATAGCTTTTATTGTATTTGCTCTCTCCTTACTACATGTCTTTGTAGTGCAATTGGAAGCAAGTCTGGCTAGCAATCGGAAGGGCGGGAGTTCAAATTTCAGCAAGGGAATTGCACATTTTACCTTTGCTTCTCCAAAATAGAATGCCTACTGGTGTTTATAGTTTAAAATTTTGTTTGGGGGGCAAGTTTGCTGTTCATTAATTTATAGTTAACAGATGCGAATGAATTTTTCTTAAGGCTCTATTTCCCTGTTCATTTAAATCAGGTTTTATAAATCTTTATGCATGTATCACACTAATTGTTCATAATTACATCTAGTGAAAGGATAACCAGAATTTTACACTTCAGAGGAGTTTCCTAATTTTCATAAAAATTTCTTTACAAGGAACTTTTTAGACACACTAAAGCGATAGCTTTTTAAATTAGCAGTTCTGTACATACCCTGACACAAAATTAATAAGATTTAAGGGTATTTCAGTATAGTTATTTGAAACTTTTATTTTCATTATTTAATCATTGGGCATTAGAACTTTTTAAACACACTAAAGCGATAGCTTTTTAAATTAGCAGTTCTGTACATACCCTGACACAAAATTAATAAGATTTAAGGGTATTTCAGTATAAAAAAAAAAAAAATGTTTATTTGAAACTTTTATTTTCATTATTTAATCATTGGGCATTAGAACTTTTTAAACACACTAAAGCGATAGCTTTTTAAATTAGCAGTTCTGTACATACCCTGACACAAAATTAATAAGATTTAAGGGTATTTCAGTATAGTTATTTGAAACTTTTATTTTCATTATTTAATCATTGGGCATTAGAACTTTTTAAACACACTAAAGCGATAGCTTTTTAAATTAGCAGTTCTGTACATACCCTGACACAAAATTAATAAGATTTAAGGGTATTTCAGTATAGTTATTTGAAACTTTTATTTTCATTATTTAATCATTGGGCATTAGAACTTTTTAAAACACACTAAAGCGATAGCTTTTTAAATTAGCATTCTGTACATACCCTGACACAAAATTAATAAGATTTTAAGGGTATTTCAGTATAGTTATTTGAAACTTTTATTTTCATTATTTAATCATTGGGCATTAGAACTTTTTAAACACACTAAAGCGATAGCTTTTTAAATTAGCAGTTCTGTACTACCCCTGACACAAAATTAATAAGATTAAGGGTATTTCAGTATAGTTATTTTGAAAACTTTTATTTTCATTATTTAATCATTGGGCATTAGAACTTTTTAAACACACTAAGCGATAGCTTTTTAAATTAGCAGTTCTGTACATACCCTGACACAAAATTAATAAGATTTAAGGGTATTTCAGTATAGTTATTTGAAACTTTTATTTTCATTATTTAATCATTGGGCATTAGAACTTTTTAAACACACTAAAGCGATAGCTTTTTAAATTAGCAGTTCTGTACATACCCTGACACAAAATTAATAAGATTTAAGGGTATTTCAGTATAGTTATTTGAAACTTTTATTTTCATTATTTAATCATTGGGCATTAGAACTTTTTAAACACACTAAAGCGATAGCTTTTTAAATTAGCAGTTCTGTACATACCCTGACACAAAATTAATAAGATTTAAGGGTATTTCAGTATAGTTATTTGAAACTTTTATTTTCATTATTTAATCATTGGGCATTAGAACTTTTTAAACACACTAAAGCGATAGCTTTTTAAATTAGCAGTTCTGTACATACCCTGACACAAAATTAATAAGATTTAAGGGTATTTCAGTATAGTTATTTGAAACTTTTATTTTCATTATTTAATCATTGGGCATTAGATTATCAGAGTTACAGCTGACATAACAGTGCAGATCATTTACTAACAAAAAAATCAAATAATCCCCAATTATGAGTAGTTGAAATAACTTACTACGCCTTTTTTTCCTTCTACTATGTTCTCTCGAGTAGTTTGTTCCGTTGGTAAACAGATAGGCTGTACTCTACTGTTCAGTTGCACAGGAGAATCCATTTGCAGTAGTGCTATATCAGCATCGAATAAGCCAGGATCATAATCAGGATGAATATGTATTTCCTGGATCTGAAAATGATTAAATAAAATTTATGAAAATATTCCTCCTTCAAAAATATTATATTTTACACTGCTCGATGATTGCTAAAGAGAAAGAACACTATCACTCATCGCAAACAAAAAAATAAAAGGAAGCAAAATATGGAAAATTAATATAAGTGCGGGTTGCCGTAAGAAGAGGTTGTGCGTATACAAATTTTCATTTCTTTGTCTGTTCATCATGTTCTGGTAACCGGCGGCAGGTTGCGCTGATGACTCCATTTTACTATTGGTACATTTGTTGAGGTTGCGTAATACCTACCGTATTTTTTTCAACTCAAAACATACTTATTTCAATTATGAAATATAATATTCTTACATATATATGTTGCTCTATTACATATATATGTTGCAGTGAAACACTGAAATCTGGAGAATGTCGACTTTCACCGGTGAATGTCAACATTCACATAGTCGCTTGGTGTATGTCCGAAATAGTATTTTCCAAATGCTCTTATTTCTAACTTACACCGGTCAATGTTGACATTCACCATGTACTAATGGTGAATGTTGAACATATAAGAATATTATATTTTCTTCCCCTTAATTCATTCGCGAAAAAACGCACTTGAGACTTAAAATAAGAACTTAAGAATATAAGAACTTAAAACACATACTACATTCAAAATGAGAAAGGAAAGTAATAGAAGTTAAAAACTTACTAAATTATGTGATTCAAATCTTATTTATTGCAACAACTTAAACTATTATGACACTTTGAATTGCACAAGAGGCCCTTGCTTTTACAACTTCATTTATTTGTGGAACAATTCCTTTTGCAATGACAGCGTGTACATATATTCCTCTCTTTTCGTCCTACACGAGAACATATCTGTGATTGTCGACATAGACGGGTGAGGGTCCGAATCTACAAGAATGTAATGTAATATTCGATCTTTCACCGACGTATTTGGTGAATGTTGACATCCTCCGGTGAAAGTCGACATTCTCCAATTTCGGTCTTTCACGGTAACATATGTTATAATATGGAAAGTATAGTTTCCTCAGTCGAGAGTTCCAGAGCAGTTCTGGCGTCTTGTCTGGTTGGAACAATCTGCAAACTGAATTAGCCATGCCTCCTTGATTTTTCGGTTGTATTTTACATCCTCTGATTCGTTATATCTGGAACGATATAAGAGGAAAAACAATGTTATTGTTTCGTCAGCCTTTCTGAAGTCGAGAGGCTTTGACAACAGACACAGCACAGAACGCTAAAGTCTCTAGACACTGGTCGTGAAGTTATGCCTCCTTGCACTGTTAGCTGGAAGGAATTATTGCGGCTGCTACGTCAGGACATAATGTGTGACACATCGCAACAGCTTGAAAACGGGGACTTTTGGGGAACACACACACGATTTCCTCATTTATCCGTGGTCCGCAGCAATGTGATAGCGCTGATAGAAGATTTAAAGAATTTGATTAGTGCGAGCATTTGTTGTACCAAGTGAAATTTTTAGGGAAAAGATTTAAATGACGGTCTTGAAAGTTTCGTATGTTTTCCCGATATTACTTAAATGATTTTACACGTTGCCATATCACTGCAAAAATTGAAGAAGGGCGAAAAATAACATATTTTGCCAGAGAGTTTAATATCGCCCATAGCGTCACTTCAGGGCTGTGGAAAGCTGTTTAAGCAACTGGAACGAGTGTCATAGAGAAGATCGTGTTAGATATACGACGCCTACAAGAGACAGGGACATTACTCCATCGGCAAAAAGAATCAGGCGCACCACAGCTCGGCAGGTGGCGAATAAGATTCTTACTGTTGCAGAACAGCGGATCACCCGAAAAACTATAGCCAGACGTTTGGTAGAAGGAGTACTATATGCTCAGAGACCTGTTCTATATGTCTCATTATCTAGATAGCACCATAGTACTCATTTGCGAGCACTGCATTTGGATTGAATAGGACTAAGCTTTACGTTATCTTACTTTTTGAATAGGACTGAGCTTCTTAGATGAGAGGCAGGTTCAATCTGCCGTCGGAGTGAAACTCCTTATATTTCAGAAAAGGGACCGATATCCTATATGCGGTATCATGGTATAAACCAGCATCATGAACAATGGCGGCATGCCCCTACATGTGCTTGCAACTTGGGACTATAACTGGTCAACCACACACAGGTGAAGTTCTTCCGCCTAATGTTCGTCTTTTCCGTGGTGCTTTTGGTGATAAATTTCTTTTCATGATGACGACGCAACATATCATCAAACATTCTGTTCAGAATTTGTCTTGGACTGCGATAATATTCAATGCATGACATGGCCGTATCGTTCTCCGGTTCTATACTCTATTGAAAATGTTGGGGAGGCGACCTTTTAGTTGAAAATAGCTTTCAACGAAGCTTCCCTCATTTGAGCACTGACAGTGAAGTGGGATCAATTCATCAGCAGCGGCTGGATAATATTGGTCAAAGCATGGCATAAGTGGAAATTTGCATTGAACTTCATGGTGAACATAATCTGTACTAACAGCTTTCTCAAAGATGCCTGCTGTCGTTTATATGCAGTTTCTTCTGTGAATAGTAAGCAAGAGCGACAACCTTTTACATAGCGAAATGTTTATAGTGTAGTAAGGTGTACGTGAGGGTCGTAAGTGTAGTATCTGCCTAAATGGAGGGATGCCTTCGCGGAGGACTTTCAGAGGGGAACTGGCTCGTATACATGTTACACGTGGGGAAAACCACGAGAACGCTGTTGCAGCCAGCCCGTTCGCCTAGAATCGAACCCAGGTTTGAATTATCAGTGTTCAGCGACTTCACCGCTTGGCCGCTGGTGGGCAGTACTTTCCAGTAATCATAATTAAATCCACTAGGGTCTACTACTGACAGGTTCACGTAGTGTCACTCAAAATGAGTGACCATGATGGCATAAGAAATATCGACAGGTTGAAACATATACTGAGTCCTCTATATCTTGCTTTTTTTATGTAAAATATTACATAGCATTAAGATGAAGAATAAATAATTGGCATCCAAACTGAAAAATATTTTATTTACATGAAACGAAAACAGTTTATCATATTTGTTGTTACCGAATGCAGAGAATGGTTTTTGAGATCATTTAAATAGACTTGGAAATATAATGTGGATACGCAATGCATCTTTATTATGTAGATGAAGATTCTAGTTTTAATATCGTTAATATCTTACCTTCCTAACTTGCACATATTCGTCATCTTTGCTGTCTTTTCGATGATATTTGCCTAAATAAACTTGGAATTTGCTGGGTTCGATAGTCAAGGTGGTGCCTGCGTAGGTAACGCAATGAGCAGCTGTAATGAGCCAAATCTCGTTAAGCAATGAAGCACCACAGAGAAGAAACCAGCGGTTGTAATCTGGTAAGTAGCGCGCAATACCACCTTGCCATGGCCACTGTCCAATGTCTGTTGCATTCCCATTGACAATGAAAGGAGAACGAGGAGAATCTGACTTTCCACAGACTGTAAAAGAATAAAGCTATTACAAAATGAGTCGGCTAAGCTCGTTAAAATAAAACAGAAAATGGTGCGAGTAATGAATGGGCGCACACGAATTAAAATTTGCATAAAATTTAGTTACAGTCAAAGCACAGATGAGAAAAGCAATAATTGATTTATTTTGTCCTGCATGGTTACCTCTTGCAGAGTCGTAGTTTTTACCTCACATTATTTAGAACACATTATTTATAACATTTGTAGAGGCATTAGAACTTTTGATGCTAGAGATGTGAAAAAATGTGCAGTGCTCTCGCCGGGATACGAACTCCGAAATAGGCGTCGAGAGTACTTCCAGGTGGTGTCCGCCGATAACATCGCGGAGAAAACAACGCAAGGCGAAAACGTCGTGCTACAAAACATCGTGGGAGAAAACATCGCAGTTCTAAAACATCGTGGTACAAAACATCGTCGTCGAAAATAAAGCGGTTCAAAAACTTCGCAGGTTAAAAACATCGTCGTCGAAAATATCGTGGTAAAAAATAAAGTATCTACAAATCATCGCATGACGATAACATCGCAGACATGCTTTTTTCAGGTTTTAATAACTGTAAATGGATATTCCCATAATGATTTGTAAGCGCAAGATGTAAAGAAGGATAATTTTTACTTTCATATTTTTTATTAAATATTACATTTTTGCTGAGAAAATAAGAAGGAAACTTAAGCATAGAAAATTAATACAATTTATAGCACTTAATAGAATTTTAAACCGACATAGTTAAACAAAGACCATTAATAAATAATTTTTCATAAAGTTTTTACTGGTAATTTTTCATAAAAAGTATAATCTATTAAGTTGCATTTAATTTTCTATGCTTAAGTTTCCTTCTTACTTTTTCAGCAAAAATTTATTAGTTAATAAAAAAAAAAAGACAGTAAAACTTATCTTTCTTTACATCTTGCTCTCACAAATCATTATGGGAATATCCATTTACAGTTGTTAAAGCCTGAAAAAAGCATGTCTGCGATGTTATCGTCATGCGATGATTTGTAGATACTTTATTTTTTACCACGATATTTTCGACGACGATGTTTTTAAACTGCGAAGTTTTTGAACCGCTTTATCTTAGACGACGATGTTTTAGGACTGCGATGTTTTCTCTTTGCGATGTTTTCTCCCATGATGTTTTGTAGCACGACGTTTTCGCCTTGCGTTGTTTTCTCCGCGACCTTTTCGTCCGCGATGTTATCCACATTTTCACTATTGGCTGTCATTTTAAAATCATCTAATTCTTCGTTCTTCATCTCTCGATTAATCCGTTGACTTCTTCCACATCTGAAAATCCTTCAGCTGCTTTTGCAATTTGTACGATTTCGTTGGCTTCTTTTTTCAATCAATAGATATCCTTTAAAATTGTTAATAACTTTTGGCCAGAGCTAACGCAAGCATGTATTCAGTAGTGATGAATGAAAGTTAAGCTGCATATGAATGAAGTTCTAGCGATGGACAAATTACATGGAAGCAATTATTAAGGTAACATCATGGTGTCTGGTGGGTGGAGGTTGTTATAGTAGCATGGTTTTCAAGTAGGGATGAGCCATGGCCAAAAATAAGAACAAAACAGAAGAATTTCTATTGTTTAACGTTGGCAAACTGTAAAGTGCACCAGAATTGCAATAATTTCAGACTTTGAAAGACTGCTAGAACTGCAACACTACTGCATCCTAATTCATGTTATGCTCAATAGATGGGAGCACGTTGTTTAATTCCATTAATTTTCAAATTGTCATAATCTATATAATTAATATTAATTAATGGAATTACTGGAGGCCACATGTTCCCCGCCTCTGCCCTAGCTGGTTAGTGTATTGGAGCAATACCTGTTCGATTCTGTAGACAAATTTCTGGCGCTCCATGCACTTTTACCTGTTTATCTGTCTCAGGTGTGAACGGGACTAACGCATTTTATGTCTAGCGATAGCTAGCTATGCCTCTATGACATTTATACCACCGTCTGAACGGAGCCATAGTGATATCTCGCACAATGTATGCTAATTTTTAGTGATGTAACTGCAGGATATATACCTGGAATGCAAGTAGGTGGTCTTCCACTCCACTGTCCACGACCTTGACATCGTCTAGTTCTGGATCCTATTAATTTATAATAACGAGATTCGCAGTCGTACATAGCCCTAGTTCCTAGGCGATGAACTCCAGAAGGTAAATCTAGTGATTCAGGCAGTGACGATTCCATTGAAGTTGGCAGAGGCAAATTCTTTGGCAAAGGGGCTGCTAAGCCAGCAGGAAGCCTTGCCAGCCTAAATAAATAAATAAATAAAAAATCTGAATGCTTCCAGATTTTATATTATGCCCAAAGGGGCGTTTATTTAAGATGTAAAGATAGAAATAACCAAATTAAAAGGGTAAACATTATTCATTGCAGAGCTATCGGTTTGAATAATTACACGCTATGAACATTTTGTGTGTTACCTTTATTTATTAATTATCATGTTCTTCGCAAATAATAAAATTCAATTCAACAGCAATATCGCAAAATAATTTAAAAAGAGCATATTTTTAGAATTTCCGATACACAGTCTATCGTGCTGGAGATAAAAATGCCTTTCTTCCATACGGTGCTACCATAACTCGCTTTGAAATCGTTCAGTTTTTTAATCAAAAACTCATTAATGCTTTACAAAATATGAAATACTTAATAAAACCAATTCCAAATTCCAAATATGGGCTTCTAAGATGCCCATATGGAGACGTACGTTATTTAAAATTGGACGGCTGTAGGTACCGTCGTTTTATCACAATGCGAGATACATACACTTATGCAAATTTTTCTTTACTTAATTTATTTAAATACAGCACAGGGCGATAATATTTGGTGGCAACAATTCAAAAAGTGATTCAGATTTTTAAAGGTCTCGACGCAAAATGCCAAAAGGAAAATAATTGCCCTTCTGAGCTAGCACCCTTTGGGCTAATAATTAAGTATAAGAATCATTAATTTTACTATAATGATGTAATAATGCTTTACTTAAATTTTAATAATCATCTAAATCTTAAGTCCATAAAGTTAAAACTGTCTAACACCCGATGACAGTAAATTGCCAAATCGGGTCGCAAGTAAAGTTTAATTACATTAAATGAAATTATTTATATTATATTAAATCAAATTACATTTTAATATTAAATAAAATCCGAAAAATGATTGATTAAATGTTCACTGGTCACATTTAACCCCAAGAAAGACTCTAAATGAATACAGATTTGTTTAATTATTGATGATAGTTATTTTCATGCGTTTGCCCCATAGGTCTGACATTATCGTATTTATCGATATCGTATTTATCGGTCTGACATTTAACATTCATCGTATCCTTAGTTCCACGAAAAAAATCACAAATCACCTGGTCCCAATTACTCCTGATGTACCAATTGCTGCTCTCTGCTCCGTTGGGTTCTTCAATGGCGGCAGGTAAGTTACAAATCCTCCGATAGGAACAGGTGGTTCTTCACATGCATCCACTGGAAAGGAAATGGTTCCAAATTAGTTTTTACAAAACTTTAAAAATTTGTTAAATAAAATTTTTTAATTTCATATGCAAAAATATTGCAATTTCGCGAGTAGAATTTAGCAGTCTTCAGTGTAAATCACCTCAAAATATACTTTTTCTGTAGATTTTAATCATATTACTTTCTTCGTTACTTCCTTGTACGAAGGCCCACCAGCGGCCGAGCGGTAACGTCGCTGAATACTGGTAGTCGGTCCGAGGTTCGAATCCCGCGAACGGGCTGGCTGTATGGGTGTTTTCGTGGTTTTTCTCATGTCTAACGTGTATACGAGCCAGTTTCCCTTAAAACGTCCTCCACGAAGGCATCCCTTCCTTAAGGCAGTAGCCCTCGAGTGCTTTGCCGTAATCTAATAAACCAAACCAAAGCCTTGTACGAAGTAAAGGAAATATTGATATCGCGAAAAATTTCGTGTATCACATTTTGACAAAAATGTCCCTTTTGACCAGTCTCAAATGCATTTGAAAGTTTTTTTTTCGTTATATATGTACTTACAGGAAGAATAAACGACTATTTTTCCAAAACGGACTCTAAAAATGGATTTAAAATGGATTCAGAAGGGATTTTGTTCGTGACATTTATCCCTGTCCGACGTTGAAAAGGGGCATGCCGGACCTACGCGTCAATTTGCAAGTAGGAGTAGTTCCGTGTAATCCCGAGATACCGAAAGCGCAAAGCATGAGCCAAAGACACCACGTTCACGATGAAATGCGTTGGGGGGCTGATGCAAGACAATCCACTGTAGCAAGAGAGCCGAATGTGCATCGCAGTGTCATAAATAGGCTAAGGAATGGCTACTAAATGGATTCCCAAAGCCCTGTAGATGACGTAGGACAGAACGCCGAAGGATTACCACAACGCCTGACGATCGTTTCCTGTTGCCATGAAGATGCCGTCATTTTTTAAGGGTAGTTAAGAGGTGACGCTCTTTTCACCCATGCAAGAGATGGCGGGTTCGAATCCAACTCGTGGAGATATTTTCCCACAAACCGATAAACTGCATTTAAAAATGCCAAGTCGTGAATACTGGGCGCAATGGGCGGAGTATACTGCGGCAACAAGCAGACGAAAACTAAAATAGAGGAGGTGATCAGGCTATGCTCAGCAAGGTACTAAGAAATTCTCTCCCTCCCTTGAGAATTGTATCTTCGCAGCATAATTTTAATAGCAATTCAAAATACTACAACAACTGAAAATCAACACTAGAAAAATAGCTCACCCCGTAGAATAGTAACAGGACTGTAAAAGCAAAACTATTGTAATGTAAGCATATTTCTATCCAGTTTGTATGTACTTGATAAAAATAATAATGTAAAGCAGTTTAAAATGACATTAAGAATCCAGTCAATGTACAAATGAATTGCAAGTTCACTTTGATTATCTCAGTAAAAGTATTGTAAATATGAATTCAGATAATGTTTAAATGTACACATAGCTGTCATGATTTTATGTAACTATCACATGTAACTTGTACAAGACAATGTTTGTAATCAACATATCTATGCTTATAACACAGGCCTTGTATGCCCATGTAATATTTTATTTATAATTTTACATGGAAGAAAAATTTCCTTCTGCCAGGATGACTATTAACACTGTAAGACTTTTACGACAAAGTCAGGTCAGTGGTTATCTCAGGCGGCGTTCAGATCACTAACAGCACGACAGCTGGCGTCGCATGCATATTCACAAAGCCTACAGACCATTTCGCTACGGGCTGCTCTCATTGGAGGAAACATCAGCTTGGCGGTCATATTTGGAATGGCGAGTTATCGCCCTGTAGGCGTGGTAATTAACGCCAAACAAAAAGGAAACAGCGTTTATTTCATTCGATATTTTTTTAATTTATGAATGAAAGCTTAGAGGAATTGTGTGGAATATATTTTAAATAACCTACTGATCTTATTAATAGTTTATTTGTAATTAAATTTAAACTTTTAAAAGTACGTAATTGTTTGACAAGAAAAAGATGTTTACATGGAAATAGCATACGCACATTTTCGTCATTTCTGTTAGAAAAAGTCTGTTGTGTAAATTTCCTGTTGTGTAAATTATTAGTGCATTAATTTATACATATAAAGTAATATTAAAAAATTAACCAAATGAAACATTCAGTAAACTTTTAAGGGCGTCGGATACCTATTCTTTTTATCTAAATTATGAGTAAGTATAACTAAAATTGTATTTTATTCCATTATGCGCTATTTCTGTTGAAACGCTTTTCGGGATCTTGGATCATAATCTTGCTACTGGTACCTACTACAAAGAGTACAAACCAGTAAATAAAAATAAGAAAAATTAACATTAACAAAAATAGTGAAAGTAAAGGCGTTTAATTTTTAACACCGCACCCGGAGGCGAAAAGACAAATAATGACAAAGTCATTCAATAAAGTTAAAATGAAAATAAATCCGTTTAGAGCAGAGTTTATGAAAGCTACGATCGGGTAAAGAAACGACGACCTAGAAGTTTGAGAAATTTTCCCGCGCCCGTTACCATTTAGCTGCGGTTTCTCCGATGGATTATGCAAACTTTTTGGTACACTACACCAGATACAAATTGTAAAGGTGATGAACCAAAAGTCGCCAAGCGCTAGATTCTGTAACTTTACGTTTCCTGTTTTAACCAATCGGAGCAAACAGCAGTAGAACGGTCTGTAGGCTTTGTGAATAAGCGTGTCGCATCTCCTTGCTGCTGCAGGACGGCCTATGTCCCGCCAAACTGCGTCGTATCGACTGCATGAAAGTGAACTGTATGCCTGCCAAAATAAAATGTATGAATAAAAAACATTTCCTGCTGACATAATGGTTCAGTTACATAAAAGAACTGCCGGGCCGTTTTATTTAGGGCTTCCGCTAGAAATACGATTTATCTCGAAACTTGAGAAGTACCGAAACCGGGTACTTACTTGCACTCTAAGCTCTAGGTTTCTCCACATATTGTTCAGTATGATTAAAATTTAACTAGGCAAATAAATGAACTGGAGATCATTTACCTTTTATGCAGGTTGGTTTCTCTAAAGACCAGCTTCCGTTTGCTGTGCAAGATATTACATCAGCACCCTTCAAATAATGAAGTGGTTCACACTTGTATTCAATAGAAGATCCAACGTAGTAAACACCTTCGATGCGGCCAATAGGTTCCGCTTTTCCATTCACCAAAAGGCCTGGGTCTTCACATATTGCTAAAAAAAATACAAGGTATAAATCGACTGATTTTGCCAACAATGGTATGTATCATTGGAATGTCATTTATGCAAGGATAATAAAGGATGTTCATTTATGCAAGCAATAATAAAGTAGCAGAAACGGTTACAGCCGAAAACATCGCGGCAAAAACATCGCAGACAAAAACGTCGCGGAGAAAACAACGCAAGGCGAAAACGTCGTGCTACAAAACATCGTGGGAGAAAACATCGCAAAGAGAAAGCATCGCAGTTCTAAAACATCGTTGGTACAAAACATCGTCGTCGAAGATAAAGCGTTTCAAAAACTTCGCAGTTTAAAAACATCGTCGTCGAAAATATCGTGGTAAAAAATAAAGTATCTACAAATTATCGCATGACGATAACATCGCAAACATGCTTTTTTCAGGCTTTAAGAACTATACATGGACATTCCCATAATGATTTGTGAGCACCAGATAGAAAGAAGGATAATTTTTACTTTCATATTTTTTATTAATCAATAAATTTTTGCTGAAAAAATAAAAAAGAAACTTAAACATAGAAAATTAATGCAACTTATAGCACTTAATAGAATTTTAAACCGACATAGTTAACTAACAAAGGCCATTAATAAATCATTTTTTGTAAAGTTTTCACTGGTAATTTTTCATGAAAAGTATAATATATAAGTTGCATTTAGTTTTCTATGCTTAAGTTTCCTTCTTACATTTTCAGCAAAAATTTATTAGTTAATAAAAAAAATGTCAAAGTAAAAATTATCCTTCTTTACATCTTGCGCTCACAAATCATTATGGGAATATCCATTTACAATTATTAAAACTCGAAAAAAGCATATCTGCGATGTTATCGTCATGCGATGATTTGTAGATACTTCATTTTTTACCACGATATTTTCGACGACGATGTTTTAAACTGCGAAGTTTTTGAACTGCTTTATTTTCGACGACGATATTTTGTACCGCGATGTTTTAGAACTGCGATCTTTTCTCTTTGCGATGTTTTCTCTCACGATGTTTTTTTGTAGCACGACGTTTTCGCCTTGCGTTGTTTTCTCCACGACGTTTTCGTCCGCGATGTTTTTGCCGCGATGTTATCGGCGGACACCGCAGAAACGACGTTTCTTGCGAAGATCTGCATTTTGCGGACATAAATGCGATTTTCTCGGGAACTAATGGTCCAGTTTGGATGCGATTTGAAACGGTCGGCCCCAGCATTTTAGTATAAAATTTACGTCTCTAAGCCAATTAGGGCCCAACTTGCATACATGGGCCGGATTCTGGTTCTAGACAAATTGCCATTACGAGTATGAAGAAATATTATATAAATATATGGAAAGATGTGTGGAAAAGTTCAACAAGGAAAAATTAATTTGATTAATATTGAAATTACAGATAAAGTTTTAATCTATGATGACATTGATATGAATCAGATTATCACCGGACATGGTAGGTTTCCTCATTATTTAAAAAGATTTCATGTACAAGATAATGATCTATGTCCAAATTGTAATGTTTTGGGTGATGCCAAACACTTGATCCGTGGTGGACTGCAAATTGACTGATTTTATTAGACGAAGTTTTTGTGATATACATTTTGATTTATTGAATCTTTGATTTTAAACATTTGAAATTATATGCAAGAGAATTGATGGCCTTTATTAATGGCAATAGACATGCCATTGGGGTTTTTAACTAAGTTCATTTTATTTTCAATGGTGTTTATTTTAGGATGTCTTTTTCGTCGTGTTTTGATGATAGTGTGTGACTTGTAGAATACGTCATATTTTCGTTAGTGTGTTTACCTAAGGGGATGTGTTTTCCTTCCTTATTTTATGCTTTCATTTTTACTAATACAGTTTTCTCGATTTAGTTATTTTTGGTTTTCTTCTTTCCTGTTGTGTCGTTGATCCAGCCATTAAAAAAAAATAAATAAATAAATAAATAAATAAAAAATAAATAAAATTATATAGTCGTATGGCAACCTTGCTGGATGTATAATTATTGTTTTCTTTAGTTGATTATACTAACATTTTTAGTTACTCGGAATATGGTGTGAATGGGACGCCCCCTTTTTGGACCATAAGATCACTTTGTGATCAGGCGGGTTGGGGCGTTCTAGCAAAAACAAAAACAAAACATGGGCCGGATGAAAACTGGCCTTTGCGAAATGAAGTTTCTAATAAAGTTAGAGCGATCAGCTTCTGCCCAGGCCTTTTCCCTTTGAGAGCCATGTCACTCACATAAATCGGAACGTCTCTTCGCTTGTTGCTGAGACAAAAATAAAGTAGCGGAAACGAGGTTTCTCGCTGAGATCCGCGTTTTGCGGACAGAAATGCGATTTTCTCGGGAACTCGAATTCTATGCGATTTGCACCGTTAGATACCATTTTCGCGCTCCATCATTTTAATATAGTATAAAATTTATGTGTCTACACCAATTAGGGCGCAAGCTGCATACATGTGCCCCATGAAAATTCGTCCCTGGAAAATGAAGTTTCTAATAAATTTAGAGTGATGAGCTTCTACCATGGCTTTCCCCTTCGGAAGACATGTCACTAATATAAACAAGCTCGCTTAGTTGCAATAGGAAGCGAAATCAGTGAGGAACAAATATAAAGTAGCGTAAACGGCGTTTCTCGCATTTAGCGGACATAAATGCAATTTTCTCGGGAACTATTGGTCCGATTTCGATGCGGTTTACACCGTTATATTCCGTTTCTGTGCCCCAAACTCTTCATTCAAAACACATTTCGGGATTCATCGACTGAATCCGGGAAAAAACCGGAAAAAAAATATTTTTTGACCAAAATTTGCTACTTATTTTCTCGGAGAACTACGACTTTGATTGAAACGCGGTTTGCGGTTTTAGAATATCTCAGGAAGACTCTGTTTTCTCATGTAAAAAAATTTCATTTCCCCATGGGGGGTAATGGTGATCACGGTCCTCCATGTTAACGTTTTTCGAAGATTTCACCGGAACTGGTGGATAGAAAATCGCAAAGTTTTACGTGTAAGACAATACCTATGTAGCCTTTCATTTCCCGCAAGGACGGTGACTTCATCTATATAAGACGACTTTAAGCAATTTTTTAAATTTTACCTAAATTTTCAAAAATCCATAAAAATAAAAAATAGTCTTTCTTTATATATATAAGCGGCTAAAGTGTGTGTCGCCGATAGTTTATTGTTGCCAATCGGAAAAATGAGCGCGGAAATTAACGTTTCCGCAGTTTTTAATTACTATCTAGGCTGATTAAAGTCGTACGAAGATGAGACCGGTATCGATGGATTTGGAGAATTTTTTGGAATCCGAAGATATGCGTCTCGAATTTCAACTCGGCGCCATTCCGTAGATATTCGAGAAAAAAGAATTTAGCACGTAGCCAAATCACTGTAATAGGGAAAACCCAAGAAAGAAAGTGGAAAATGTAGGGAAAACGTAGAAGGAAAATTAGTTTTTAATTAATATCCCGGCTAATTTCCAAGAAGACGCGAATGGTCAAAATGGCGCGCCACGGACCTGCGGAATACATCGGTGTGCTTCGCTAAGCCCGGGAGCCAGCCGTTTCGGAGGAGATAATGTTACTTCACCATATATATATATATATATATATATGCGGCTTAAGTGTCTGTTTGTCGCCGATAGTTTATTAGTTGCTTGCGTAACTGTACTAGCCAATGGGGTGAAGTTGCCACAGCACAGGGTTGCCGTTTCAATTGAGACGTAGACAATTTCCTGTTAAATTTGCCTTTGCTATGACTATCCATAAATTTCAGGGCCAAACGTTTAAGCGTGTTGGCAATTTCTTACCTGAGCCTGCATTTGGACACGGTCAACTTTATGTTGCCTGTTCAAGAGTTCGTGAAAGAACGGGCGTAAAATTAAAAATAATGGATTGTCCTCTGCAAGGCGAGCTTACAAATGATGGAAAGATCTACACAAGAAATGTTGTGTGCAAAGAGATATTTGATATGTGGATTAACATTTCATTATTTAAATCACCTTTATTGATTGAACTAGCGGTGGGTTTTAAGAAATGTACCGCCGCAGTGGTTTCCTTCATTACACTCTACTTTAAGCAATTAAGCCAGAAAGTAGAAGTGGGAAACCCCCGTGGGAGGGGCAGTAAGCAAAGGGGCGTCCTCGCCGCCTGCCCTGGGTAATTCAGTTTAAATTAGCAGACACCTTTGCACAAATAATTTTAATTACAATTTATAATATCTAAAACAGCGGTCATTTCGTAAGACCGCCAGGGTTTCTAGTATTAAATAACCGAAATAGCCAAAATATTTGTCTCCAGATGCTCTATCATTAAAAAAAAAAAACTTCTATCTACCAATTAGAATCGGAGGTGCATACGGTGTCTTATGCCATATAATGCCTATGGGCCCTTAAGGATTTTGCCTAAATGTCTTATCTTTTTGATTTTGTGATTCGTACAAGAAACGACCAATCACAGGGAAGCGAACGCGACTGACGTTTCGGTCGTGCGGTTTCACTGAGTTACCTTTACTCTTATGCATGATCAACTTTACCTTCCCTGATTGGCTACGGCTTTAACCCTGTCACACAAGCGTGAACGGACTTAGTGACTTTTGCGCCTTCAATTACTAATCCCTTGTTTGAACCAATCCTAAGGAAACAGTTATGTTTATAATTCCATTTGCAGTAAATATCATAAATAAATTTATTTTTTCTTATAAGGAGGTTCAGTATTCTGTAAGATTATATAAACACCGTGTTCATAAAAGTCCTTATGCACCGTTGGTTATCAAAGACATAAACAAAAATGTTTTAAATAAGAAAAATATTCACATTAGAGTATTTTTTTAACTTCAAAATTCCATTTTGTAAAATTTACGAAATCTAACTTTTTATATGACTTTCCTGATCTCCGTTAATTATATTTAGTAAAACTAATACTGATTCAAGGGACAAAAATCCAAACGTGCAACCTTGAATTATTTTAATTTCTAACCGTCTGAGGCATATATTATT